AGGACTAGTGCTTTTCGTTGGAACAAGAAATAGTCAGAAGCTGATGGTAACGACTGGGTAACCTTCATCTCATTTGCTGGTAGAAAACCATGCTTCCAAAAAAAAGCACTCGCTGATCTTCTCTATCACCCCAAGATTAAGCAATCGCTATCCCAAATTCAGTTTTGAAGAGTTTTTTCAATTTCCTACTTTTTATATTTTTTCAATTTGATGCGTTTGTTTGTCGGATTTCAATCTCATTTCTCATGCTTCTTTGTCCCAGGGCCTTCCTTTTTGAAACTTCGAATGTGACCCACTCGTGGATTCCATCAATTCGAGCTTTCCACATAAACAAGTATATGCTTGAAGAAACGTCAAGAAAGTCGTGTATCATAAGGAAAATCAGAGAATAACACAGATCACTTTTCGGAACAAATACTAGAGCATATTGAAAATCTGCTCTGCTCATTAACACTTGTAGATTTTTTTTTGATTTCATAAATAGCCACAAGAACTACAAATACATTTTTGAGAACATCGAAAGAATCAATGAAACATATACGGAAAATCGTTGTGTTTTGTTTTGTTTCTGGGTGCTGGTTTTTGCCGCAGTTTGCAAAACGAATGTTTAGCGTTTTGCTCATAAATCACCGCCTTGGTGAGAACACGCTGAAGGTTTACCGTACAAATCATTGTATCGATTGCAAATGCTAACAAGGTAAGGGTTTAGCGTGCGTGATCTGGAATTCTTTTAATTATGGACTAGATTAGAATTGAGGGTACTTTCCTTGAGAACTCAACATTCAAAAAACCTTTTTTAGACAGTCACTGAAAAGTGCAATTTTTTGAATTGGCTCGAACAGAGCTCTATAGTGCTGCCGAAAGACCCACTCTTGGCGCTACAGAGTTAGAGGGTAGAAGTCTGGGGTTATATATCGCAAAGGCTTCAACCACTGGTGCGCTTTTCCTTTTCAACAAATGCTCCGAAACATATCTATGAGCTCTATCGAATAGTTATGGGAAATTTTCTTTTTATATTTCGGTGTTAATTTCAGTGAAGTTTTTTCCCAGTTTGTCAATTTGCCCAACTGCGTTTGCGATTTCTCACCTATGGATGTTAGCGCTTTCATTGCATGCACAAATTGCTAGTGATGGATTGCTTGCTGCATTTGACGTAAGAATATTCATAATCGCTTCAGTCTGTAACGGTCACACCGTAACGGCGAAATCTTATGCCATATTTCAATTGCGCCGCCGTGATGTCTGCTGGAGGTTAAGTGATTTGAGCGTTAGAATGATTGACGTTCAGAGTAATTCAAACGATTATAGAAAGAATGATTCGCCTTTTACACTTCCTCGATTTTTTGTACTTTGTCGACAATCTTTGGATTCACTCCGTCTCTGTTACCAGAAGCGTTTTTTTTTTCTGGTTGTAGTCTTATGCTTGTTTTCTTCAACTACGGGACCGTAGTAGCCTTGACAGTAGCACTCGAAACATTGTGGTAGGAAGTCTTTTATTATTTATGGGATCTGTGTATTAGTGAGTTTTCTGGAGCGGTATCATTTTTGCACTTCTTCGTTAGGTTTTGTTTTTCTGATAGTAACTATTTAGGCAATCCCCATCATTTACTAATCTGAATCACGTCACTCCTCCCATGAATCCCTCCCCCTCCGACGCGGATTTATAGCTTCACTAAAATATGGGCCTTGCGAAACGTCAGTGCACCGTATGGCGAACCCGTAGTGAGTCATTCGTGGCCGAGTGTCACAGTCGCTGGATCCGCCTCCACAAGTTTTGTTCAAAAATAGGAAGCAAAGAGGGAACGTGGCAAATATTCTTGAGCTGAAATATCCTGAAAACGAAAGCACGGCCCATGACCGTTCTAAAAGGTTTATGCTTACTTTAAGAAAGTAAGGGAGAAGGGGGGGTAGGGTGTTGTACGCGCACGAAGCGTTTCTCAGTAAGCTACCTTGTGGATGTTGATTATCGACGCGTAAATTCAGTCGCCCATTCCGAGTAGGGGTGAGTGCCGTCGATACAGATTGATTCGAGGGATCTGAATCAATCGCCCTGTGTTGCGAAGAAAAGTTGCGCCATTATTTATTTGTTTTTTATTTGTCAAACTTGATCACCTACGTCATTAGGTCTTCACAGGCTCCCTAGAGTTCCCGTTTCTTGTATCTACTTACAAGGTCTCGTTCTCCGAATGTGCTCTGTAGAAAAAGTAACAGGGCCGTAGATAGCTGCCATTTTGGCGCCATTGGCTCACGACATGAATGTATCCATAAGAGTTGTTCCGATGGGAGCGGAGATTTTTTTGCAGAGACTTCTCATCGGTAGTCGTGTGTGTGGAGTTTAGAGTGGAGCAGAGAAAAAAAGACAATTGCGTCATAGGCAGAGATGGAGGCTTATGATGCAAAAATCCAAGGGATTCCCCACTCCAATATCCAAAACCTGTGTTGCATTTACACCGGAAAATCTGAAGAAATGTCATAGGAACGGAGCCTTCAGCGGTTCGTATCCTAAAGGAATCATCGAGCAAAACTAGGTTCAGAGTCGTTCATGCGCGGCAGTGCCGCTCCAGAAATAGCCCTGCTGTAAAATGGTCTTTGTGACTACCAAGTTTAATGCATTATATCGTAATTCGTTTTCTTTCTTCCTTGTTTCTCATCCACAGTTTGAAAGCACATTTTTGAGGCGCTTACAAATTCATTGTCATTAGTGATCTGCGTTCAGCATCTAAAGAAAGACGTGAACACCCAGGTAGAAATTAACGGTTCCGACAACTGTTATTCATTTGGTTCTGACAAAGCAAGTCTTAACAGGTGACAGTCTTTAGCGCTGCATAGGTTGAAAATGCCACATGCGAATCGGCTACTATAAAGTTTTGAGTTCAAAAAGAGTGACTCCGCTTTGGACGTTACGCCGCACGAAAAAGTCATAAATTGCGTTTGGTGAGACCGAAAGAATGTCATGCTTTAGGAACGCACGCGATAAGCAGCACGCTCCAAAACCTTTGAATAGTTCCGATATACGTTTGATGAAGCTGTAGTCGTTATTCTGAATTAAAAAAAATACACTATTATGAATCAAGGTCTGAAAATGTTATGTCGTACAAGTAAAGGCGTTCAATATCAAAGAAAATGTGCCGTAACAGCAATTATAATTGACCTATATCACGTCATGGACATATGTACAAAGCTTCCAAAATTTAATTGCTCCAAGTGTAAAATTTTGCTTCCACTTCAGTATTAACACTTACTGTGGACAACATGGTCAACCGTGTCGTTCGCACTTTTCAGGAAATTTCGCGACCCCCCCCCCCCCTCCACCACCCTCGCTAGAGTGGCTGTTCCTATTGAATTTGATTCTGAGACCAGTCGACACAACCCAACTCCGCCCACTCATTGGTGCAATGAAACGGCAAATTTTCTCTATCTTCTTTCTCTATCTTCCTCTTCTTCTAACAATTTTTTACGCCAATTACATCTGCCAAATCCTTCAAAAACCAATCTAAATCGCCTCGCCATTCACCCAACCAATTACTAATCCCACTCAACCCCTGAATGCGACCCCCTTCCCAAAATCAACCACAAATGCGACCCCCTCGTTCGAATAGTGCGAACGCACGGTTGACCCTGCATGCAGCCCATATGCGGGCTGTACTCCGCCGGCTGCATAGGACTTCGCAGGCGACATTTTGTCAAGGGGTACTAAATCTCTTCTTTTGTTTTTCTCATCGACTTATTCAAATAGTCTCGCTCTGAATCTTACGATGAGTTTTTGCTTTTTGACCCGCTAAATAAGTTTTCGAAAATATTCTCTGAAGTTCTACGCTACCGCTAATGGTAAGCCTAGAACCTGCACTTAAGGATAGAGCATCCGGCGTTGATCACACCTTTTCATGGTGTGTCACGTATTTCCGTTCAAATATATGGCATCTAAAATGTGAATCGGCCTATAATATGAATGCCGATGTACAGTCTAGTATTTCCGTCTTCCCAGGCCATACTGTAAAATTGATCGAGCTTCTAGGGATGGAACATTTAAGCAACCCAAGGGAGTTAACCCGAGATTTGGTCCTCGACTTATGCGTTTGGTAATTGGCTCTAGTTGCTATTAAGGAAGGTAATGTGAATGCAATAGATTGGACAGAATGCTGATAGGAGAGTTGGATAGAAGTGGGCTTGAGAAGTACCGAATTCTAGGAAAAAGCTCCATTTGGAACAAATCGGATTCGAGCTTGCCTTGAAGTGATAGAATTCGTGGTAGTGTTGAGACGACACACGATTTTGCTTTTCAAATCATTTGCGTGCTTGTTCAACAGGACGACTTGAAGGGGCACCCACCAGTTTTGTAATGATTTAGTTTGTTTTTAAGTTTTCTTTTATAATTATCATCTTTAAAAAAAAAAATTAAGGTCTAATATACATCTTACGCTGGCTGGTTATTCAGACGCCGTCAGTGATATACAGTAGCGGTCAAAAGTTTGGAAACTTTTTTATTTTTGATCTAGCGTAGCCAATAGACAATGAAATTGCCTCCGAATTCACATATTATATTCAGAATCTAGTGTAGATTACGATGGGTAACATGATTTTTTGAAAACTGAAATCGCATTTGAAAAATACGAATTTTTATAGGAAATGGCGCGTCAAAAGTTTGGAAACTTCCGAATTCTAAAGCGAATTCGGCAAAATAGCTCTCAAATCCACATGATAAATTAGTTATTTGATGAGTAGCTTTAAATTTCTATCTTAGCGTCGTTTTTATTGACATGGTATTGATTATAAAATAATTTTAGGATTTTTAAGTCGGACCTCATACACTGTGAACTAAAGCACATTGTTTGGTGGGATTCTTAACTGGAACGTGGGTAGAGCGACATGCCACTTTTTCCGTGAGATGTAGAACTCAATTAGACTTCAGATCTTGACTTGGTCGCTTCATAGCAGCTCCTTTTTCTGGGTTGAGGAAGGCGGCAGTGGGGAGGTAGGCCTGCATCGGGTTATTTCCGTAATAGAAAACCCATCTTTTCCGGCTAGTTCTGACTATCTAAGGTAAGCATTGTATTCTACAGACTATACTTGTACTTAGCCCAACCCACATTTCGCTGGATACCTAGAACTGTGGAATCGCCGAATGGTCGGACACATGTTCATCCATGACAGTACTTCCACTATTTCTGACTGTTGGAATCTCATACTCAAAATGAGGTTCCCATTTGACAAAACACTTCACAGGGTCCATATTATTTCTAGGAAGATAGAAATCTCATTCGTCGCTGAGGACAAAGTTTCACCTCTTGGCTCCGGTTCATGTTAGCCGATAGAGTGCGGAAGCCAGTTGGGCCATCCCTGCTCTTGAAGCCCAACAATGGCTACTTGCTGGGATACCATCCGTAATATTCATCAGGTCGCGGCCGATGTTGTGCTACACTTGGACTTCAATATGATTAGAGGAAAACTGGAAAAAGTTGTCTCTCACTTGGGAATGTCGGGGGCACGGGACGTGCCAACCACCCTCCGAAGTATTTGAGGAGGGCCAATTTTCTTGTGAGGATACTTTTTTGTGAATGATCATTCTTCTTATGCTTGCTCGACTCCAACAAAGCCAGAAACATTCGATGCTATTACTTCCTTAGAGATTGAACTACTAAGAAACCATTTCAATTTCGTATTCCGTATTGTAGGGTTCAAGAAAGGACTTCCCATGGAAAAACTGCTTCCTTTGCATATGAATTCATTTCGAAATTACACATTGCTCAATAGTTTAACTAAAATTAACAAAAACAAGTGAACATTGAAGAGTAGGAATCATACTGATAAGGGAAACAAAAAGTTTCCAAACTTTTGACGCGCCATTACTTGAAAAAATCTTATTTCTCAAATATGATTATAGGTTTTTGGAAATTGTTCTTCCCGTCGTATTCTGAACTCGATTTTGTATGGAATATCTAAATTTGGGACAATTTCGTTGTATCGGCCGCGCTAGATCAAAAATAAAAAAGTTTCCAAACTTTTGACCGCTACTGGTAGGTTTAGTCTCTAGCGCCTTTTTCCTTCCTTAATCACTGCTACTGCTTTGCTTAGAGGAATATTATATTACAGAAAATTCCAACAGTAATCTTTTATCTTTGGAAGGTACAATCTTTTCCTTTGCAGGTCAGTCTCACGTCATCGTGCTACTCGTCTTGCCTGGATTCCGCCGAATGAACGTGTACCGCCTCCAGATGTCGCTCCTCAAGTTGTACCTAGTGAGTTGCAGCATCTGCTGTATTTGTAATGTATTTTGCTTTATTGTTATTTTCAAATTTACTTAGCATGAATCTTGCACCATCAATCATGCAGAGTGAAGTTGATGACGAGATTTTTTTTTGTTTTCCAGATGCCTCCCAAGGAGATCACCCAGCGACTGCTCAAGAACAAGCAGCCGTGGCTGATGAAAGTCCTTGTGCACCCACTACTCCTTTACCTACCCCTGTTCGCTCAGCTAAATGCCAGTCCTACTCCATGTCTTTTGTAACCGTTGCATTCAGTCAAAGCTGTCGTCAATCAATGTGGTGGGCTTCGGTAATCCGTTTTGAGGTTCTCTCAAGTTTAATCACTGTTGTCCTTCAATTTTTATTTTCCAGAGCCCTCCACTATTTTGTCCCCATCAACCGATCATGAACCTGAATCGGAAGGTATAATTTCTCAATCACCTGATTATAATCATTGAGGCAGTAGAACAACGTTTGTTTTAGCCCCGTCAGTCCCACCACCCCCACCTGATCTCTCGTATACAGGGACCCACCAGCAATGTCAGGTACCGCATTGCCAGCTTTTCTGATTTGTTACTATCACCTTATGAGACAGCCGAATGACTTTGATGCTTGCAGATAGCTTCCCCAGCAGTCCTGCACCACCACCGATTTCCAAAGATGTAATCGAAAAACTTGCAACAGACGCAGGTTTGTCAGATCCTCTACTGTTTGATTCATAATATTTTTTGCAGCGAGGAAATCGATCCTAACTAGTTGCCTCTGCATGAGGGTTTTTGGGTTTTTGTCTTATTTGTTTACTTTATTTTACTCTTCTTTTTTCACGTTTCAGAATGATCAAGCTGTTTTATTATGTATATTATATAATAGTATGATAAGATCATCCTGGAAGTTTTCACTTTTCCATGTCTGATTAATTTAAGCGGAATTGCTTTTCAAGACTAACATTTTATAAAATGTGCCGCAGGCGCCTTCGTTCAAAATCTGTGTAATCAACTAGGTACGAGGTCCTTGGATGCAGCTGTATAAAGTTATAACCTAGAATATGTACTCGCAATTCACTCTTTCGTGGCTTCTGAACAGAATTTGAGTTGATTAGTTTTGTGAAAAAATACAAAAAGGTTGCCTGAAAAGTGGAAGCTTTCAGGATGTGGTGAAAAAGGAACTTTCTTTGATTTTGTTACCTCTAGGACTTCATAGCTTCATGCTAAAGTATGATGCGCTATAGAGGTCAGGCACTAACACAATCATTTTCGAGAGTTCATCTAAACAGTTCTATAGGTTCGCTACCCTACCGTTCTCAAGGATTCTGTCTCATTGGCGCGAATTCTATGAGGTTGTTTTGATCAACACTTGAAGAGGAAAAAAGCTAATTTTAGCCGCATTTTTTTTCAGAACTGATCTCATCAATCGAAGTAAAACAGTTAGAATCACTACACTTCTGGCAATAGAAGAATCAATTGTCGTTTCGATTCCGAAAATACATATTGATCATTCGTTCATTGACACAAAACAGGAAGCAGCAGTATTTATGTGCTATGCTAGACATGCTAATGAACACAATGAAAGGAATTGGAATAGGACATGTAGATGAAAAATAACTAAATGTGGGAGCTGTATAACCTTCTTTGCAGAGTTTTTGATAGATAGATTAAACGTGTGTAGAATCAACGAGGGCGCCTGCGGCCATTTGCAAAAATTGGTTTTTGGCTCTATCGCCAAAATCGCGCCTAGGCCTAGGCAGAGGAATCCAAGCGAACTTGTCACAGCCAGTTGCTGCCGATAACTTGTTGAACGTCTGTAGTGGCTAGCCGCCTTTGGTAATACGGGCTTGCTTTGGCTCAACTCCGAAAGCAGTCGCTGCCTCTGGCAATACATCACATGATGTCTGATTTCACAGGGTTTCAACCACAGTGCTAAACAATAAAAAATTGCTGTCCACACAATGATCTGTACAAAAATGTACCTTTTTTTCTTGAGTGGTGATGGCAGGTACCCCGATGGCAACGAACATCCGAAGAAGCTGGATGTTTCCAGCATTTAGAATAAAAGCAATGATAAAGTGCTTCCATTGAATGGAAGAAAGGAGATCTAGCAGGGTACATTGCGCTGACATATTTCCGACTCATGAAAAAAATTACAGTGATGAAAGTTATGAGCTTCATCTCTCAGTTTGAATCTCCTGAGGGAATTGTGAAAACAGGCATGTGGATTAATTAGTACTGGCCCTCACTGGTCCAAACTTCATCCCAGTCTTCGAGAAACTTGTGACTTCGGTAGGAACAGTCGAAGTATAAGCTTGAT